ATGTAACAAAGTCCCGCCCCCCCCCCCCCCCCCCCTCCAACCCACCGGCATTGACGTCACAGCTTTTACACGCGTGCAAATTAAATGCACCGATCCCCCCCGCCCCCTCCCCGCACCCCCAAAATGAATGAGCGACTCAGTGCTGTCGTGCGTGCGTGAAAGGCAGATTCGCTTTGCACTGCGGCGAGACCTTAGTCCACGCAGCCCACTCCATCAACTCGCCCGCAAGACGCCACGCGGGGATAGACGTGCACGCGCATACAGGTTATTTATCCTTGCCACGACCGGGGCATCGCCCCCGCCCCCTCCCCGCACCCCCAAAATGAATGAGCGACTCAGTGCTGTCGTGCGTGCGTGAAAGGCAGATTCGCTTTGCACTGCGGCGAGACCTTAGTCCACGCAGCCCACTCCATCAACTCGCCCGCAAGACGCCACGCGGGGATAGACGTGCACGCGCATACAGGTTATTTATCCTTGCCACGACCGGGGCATCGCACTTCCGGGGTGCACCAAAACCACCGTCGCCGCGTCCACGTACCTGCCGTCACCCACGCCCTGTTGCGTCGGCGTCCATGGCGGGAGCGAAGCGGCCAAAAGCTGGCGTCCGGCGTTCCACGCGTGTTGTTTCCACACACCGCGTCCGGGAGGAGGAGCAGGAGGCGCGGAAGGAGGAGGAGGAGGAGGAGGTGGTGGCGGTGGAGAGCCTCTCCCCCCTTGTGGAGAGGCGGGCAAGTGGATGCGAGTGGACGTCACTCCACGGAGGGAGCCAATAAGCAGCGAGCCGCCGAGTCCTCATTGATTTACTGATTTGGGAAAGGGGGGGCGGGGCGGGGGAGAGGGCGCAACCAATTGTTGATCGTGGGTCAAGATGACACGGCATCCCATAATATCTCCTCGGAGGTCGTGCGTAAACGTTCGCAACACAACTCCAGCTTTTTTTTTTTCTTAAATCATTTCTGAAATGTCATCGTGGACCCCCGTTATTCGCGGGGGAAAAGGAACCGGCCGGGCCTGTCCACCAAAAGCAAAACTCCGCGAATTAGTGACGTCTATTACAAACGCATTAAAAAATACAAATAAAAAAAAAAAAATCTGTCAAAAACGGGGATGAACTGCCAAAACTTTGGTTGACTACGGTTTTCTGTGTCCAATTATGACAAAATTAGCTTTTATGGGGAAAAGTTTTTTATCAATACTGTATAGTATAGAGTAGCCTGTATAATTGAATACTGTATATAAATTACATTTCTTTATTCAAATACATGTCAATTGGTACTCTTCATCAAATGTATTATTAATACTGTACTTGTAGACAGGTGCATCTCAATACATCAAAATATGGTACAAAAGCTAATTTCTTTCTTTCGGTCAATGCAAATTAGTGAAACGCAAATTCGTTCAATAAATTGGAAATATTTTTCACAGGACAACCTCAAAATGTGGTTTCTTTTGTCAGACTCCAGTTTCTCAAAATAATGAATTTTGAGATTTCCTCAACTGTAAACCCAAAAAAGGAGGAAAAGATTCACGCCACGTGCAGCAAATCTAGAATAAATGTTTTTCACAACATCAAGATGCACCCGTGACAGTAAAGACAGCCATACTCAAAGGATTGGAATATTTATATGTCAATATTTTGTGGATGACTGTACAGTATATATTTACAAAAATTCTCAATTCTTTCTCAACCCACTGTAACATGTTCCCGATGTTAACTTCAATCACTGGCGCGGACAAATGCGATGACAGCTTGTGCTTGTGAGGCGAGTCTCGTCACAAGGAGACCAATTGTTGCTAACTTCACAGAATATGGACGAGAAAAATATGACTTTCGTCAAACTGACTGCGACCACGAGTGGCAAAATTATTTAGCTATTTTGCTTGGATCGCCCCAGTTCGCAACAATGTCACGCCTATTAAAATGAATTTAACATAACAAAACGGACAGTCGGACATTCAATGCAAGGTGTCCTTATTTTCATTTTTAATTCACGTCACATGATGATACCGCCAGGATGGTGGTTGTTCATGGCGGCAGTTTTGCCACTGGAGGGCGCCACAACAACAGAACAGCTTTTATCTTTTTGCATGAAAAGTTGAAGAAGTAAAGGTGACCAAACAAAAAAAAAACACACTTTTGGCTCCTTCTAGACGTAAGAATTGTCAATAAAGCTATTTTTTTTGTCCCAGTACCTTAACACGTAAACTAGATTCTTTTTCCTTCAAATATACAAAAAGATAGCAAAGGCTGGCAAGCATGTACAGTATTTACAGCCAGTTTGGTTTTAGTCGTTGTTCTTGTTTTGATGAAATGACAACGAGAGGTTTATCACCAGCCCCCCCTTGGGTGGTGCGGGGCCGGGCCTCCGAAGGACGGCCTCCCTCTAAAAGGGGGGCCCGCGCGCCCCACCATCATGCCCTCCGGCTGCATAAAAGGGGGCCGGTGGTGGAGCATGGGTCCGCGAGGGGGGAAGGGCAAAGCCATCCGGAACCTTTCCGGGGGGAACGTGGGTCCTGCGGGCATCATGGGGCGCGGCGCGTTGGGGGGCGAGTGGAAGGGTGGCAGGTGAGGAGGATGACTGGGATGCATCGGGGGGAGTCCCGGCGGAGGGGCCTGGAGGTTGATGACGGGGCCGACGGGGGAGCCGAGCTGGCGGTCCGAGGGCTTGTCTCCTTCGAGCGTGGGCGTCAACTCCGTTGGGGATTTGACGGCTGCACGGAAAAGACATCAAATGAGCAATTTGGAGCTTCTGGAGGGGTGTCCAAAGTCCGGCTTGAGGCCCCGTGCATGTGTCGTCAATGGCTTGAAATGGCATTATTCCAATGGCAATATGATGCACATCTGCATCAAAGGGTATGAGAAAGTGTTAAAAATTATTTTTTTCTTCCTCCTTCTCGGGAGCAGAGAGGGGACAGATACGTATTTACGCACAATTGGAGAGTGGTCTGATGAATGACAGTTAAAATTACTTACACGCATGTCTTTAATTGAATGTATATTGTCCAACTTGCCAGTCATGTAAGAATTTTGGGTTGGAAAAAAAAAAAAGATCAATCCATCTATCATTGTCTTTTTTTTCCAATGTGATGATAATGGCCGTTATTTTTTGTCCAAGATGCGGCCCACAAAAAGGCCCCCGGGCCATAGTGTGGACACCAATGGTCTTTGCGTGTCCTACCTGCTGCAGTGGCGTCAGGCTTCAACTCTGGTGGGATCAACATCAAGCCCCCCGAGGGAGACAGCATGCCCGGGGGCAGGAACTGAGGCGGGCTTCCCATGGGCCCCACCTGTGGGAAGCCAGGAACCTGCAAGACAGACCGGCGCCATTTCAAGGCTCACGAAGCAGCAAAAAACGCAAATACGGCCCAATGTCTTCAGGCAGGCATGGCTGCCATCGAGGGACACTTTTGTGTTTGGAAAACGGACAGATGGCTCACAGCTTTTGGATGCCAGGTCAAAATAAATTCATAAGGAAAATAATTTTTGACTTTTTATAATTCAATGACATTTTTTTTTACATTTATGTGTTAGCTTGATTGTTTTACAATTGCTATCTATCATAAATAAATACTTTATCTAGTTATTAAGTTAAATTGTTATTTTTTTAAAAGTACATCACCTCATGTGCAGATGAGATAAAAAAAAATGTGCATGCAAAATCGAATGTTAATTAGTGAACTACAATTTCAGGTTATTTAATTGGTACAATTATATTGTGATTATAAAATAGTTTTTGTGATATTAAGTGATTAAGCAATAAAGGTGAATGTCAAAAATATCTGACTCAAAAAGATTTTTTTTAAAAATCGTTTCAATAAACGGTGAAGACAATAGAAATCAAATCTGTCAAATTTACTCATCTGAGCAAAATTCACGAAACACAAACATATTATAGTTGTAGTTCTATTATAGTTGGTGCGCCAGATTAAAAAGTTGAGGGAAAAACTATTTTTTTCCGGTCCTTTCAACATTTCTTCAACAAGCCTTCTTTTCAGTCACATTGTACCTGTCATTCCAATGTCAAAAGAAGTCATCCAAGGTCAAGATGCTGAAACAACAAAAAATCGAAGCAGCGAACCGTGGCCCTTTGTGCTCGGGAGGAGAGTCTCCGAGCAGGAAGACACTTTTTTTTTTTTTTTACCCACATTGGAACTAAAGGACTCGTGGAGGCCCCGTGTTGCGTTTGAACCACACATCCTACAAGTATTGTCTCAATGTCGTACTTTCCAGCCCTGAATCTCACCGACCGGAACCTTTTCGTTCCAGGAAATGCGTGTACCAACAACTCCAAACTCCCTGAAACTTCATCTTGATCTCCTCTGCCCCTTCTGGTTTTAACGGTTCGGACCACACTTCCCCCTTCACCATCACCACGACACTTCTGTGGTAGCATTACAACCCCCCCCCCCCGAAATGCACAGAAATTGAAAAACGGGTTTGTTCGATGTTTGATGAGATTCAGTCGAGATTCCTGAGTGTGAATGGGAGGTGAGTCTCCAACTTTAGGTGGAAATGTTCTTATTATGTTACACACACACTCTGAAAATCTGTTCTCGGGACAAAATATCCCCAAAACAATTTTATGTCACATTTTGTTATTCACATGTAGACAAAAACATTTTTCACTCCATAAGTACAATGCATCTAAACGCCGCCTTTTAACAGCGTCGATGAGGCAGGCCGCCCTGGGAATTCTCAAGAGGCACGGCCGATGGAAAAACGTCAGCGGCCATAAGAACGTCTTTAGCCGGGCAATACGCCAGATGGATGGCCAGCTGAAAATTTTTCTTTCGACACCCCCTCCCCCCCAAAAAAGGAGGGTGGAGTGAATACATGGTAATAGGCCGCAGCTTTAAATTGAAAGTGACTTTCAGAATCTTTCCTCCACAGCCCCCTTGTCCCCCCTTTTTTTGTTTTTGTGGGCATCCACTGTGTCTTAAATGCCACTGCGGCAGATGCAATTTCAACATTTGGCAGGTTGGAAGCTCACTGCTGAAGTCGATGCAAATTAGAGGTCATCTTGTGACATATTATTGGGGGGGAGCCTATTCGCCACGATGTGTTGAAAAACTCACCTATTTGCTGTTTTCTGCTCAAGGCCACAGCCAGCGCCATGCGTTGGCAGATTTGTGCCATGGAAAACAATTTTGAGGTGAATTGAGGAACTTCACTCAACAAAACTTGTACTTTGTCGCCACCTTGTGGCATCACGGCACAATGACAACCCCTTGTGGTGACGAGGCTGCATTACAAGCGGATTTTCAGCATTGAAGGCAGGATTCAGTCCCTATGTGCCACTTTTAGGGAGCGTTTACAGTCGCGCTTTCCTATATACTGAAGCTCGAAATGCTTGGAGGGACACGGTGCATTCGTCTCAATGTAGTTCCACGGTAGGACTATGAAAAGACTGTAAACCTTCAGCGAACAGGTCTGAGGCTCGAAGCACGTCTGCCTGGTACCACAAGTACAGAGAACTAAAAAGTTGTAGAACATTGTTGCTGGAGGCATAATGCACGGAGCAACCAGGAGGGAGACAAGTGTCCCACTCTGTTCCGTTTCCTGGTTCGACAGCTCATTTTTGTTTTTGTTGAAATCACTAAAAGCAAGTTGCTAGTTGATTCACCTGTTCTCAGAACCGCCCCCCCCCCATTTTTGTAGGGCATATCAGGAGGGGGGCCAACCCCGAGTAGTTTTTCATCGAAAACTCATGGCAGAGGTTTAGCAGCTGATCCAGCCTTCCATCTAAATATACATATGACCCCCCCCTCCCCGCACCTCAATAGTTGTGTCTCCCTCCATGATCGATTGAAGTTGCCCATCCCGGACATCGATTGTGCTCGGGAGGAGAGTCTCATGAAAACTTGGGTAGCTCACTTAACTGAGTACATTCATTGTGCTTCGCGACCGCAGCAAGTTTGGAGCAGCATGGCATAAGGAGCGCAATTTGGCTAAATGTAGTCGAGCGGTTAGCGCAGCCACCTCGCAGTTCTGCGCTTGCGGCTTTGAACCCGGGCTCCGGCCTTCCTCTGTGGGATTGCTCATCTCAAAAGCCTGCTTCTGGAACACTCCAAATTGTCCAGAGGTCTGACTGCGAGGGTACCTGGTTGGCAACCAGTTCAGGGTGTACTCCGCCACTTGCTGGGATGGGCTCCAGCTCGCCTACGACCGTAGCGAGGAACGCGTGCCATTGAAAGTAGACGGACGGAAGGTTCCAGGGCCGCTCCGTGTGGAAATGCGGCTTTAATGTTGCCGACGCCGGTTTTCACTGAGTAACCGGGACAGTGACCCACTGTTGCATCACGTGCACTTACATCTCCAGTTCTATGGTTATCGCATCAAAACGCTGGCCAAAGCAGAAGTCGCTTTTTTTTTTTTTTTTTGCTTACGCCGTTTTTGGATTTGTCACTTTTGTAACAAGACCTCGGAAGTCATTCCCCCGCTGAGAGAACATGAACGATTGCAACACACTTTATCCACATGAAACTGCATTCCGGCAATTATTCATTCACATCATCCACTTACTGTGGTTGAGGACTAACGATGTTTTTTGTTCAAGTCCTCCAAGTTTGTTACCGCAATGTCAGCGCTGACTACTAATGAGATCTTTAGGCATGGGTTGTAGAAGAAAAAAAAAAAACCTTGACATTATGACAATGCCCCTTTCACCTTTCAAGCAATATGAGCAGTTTTTATACACACACGCACGCACGCATTATCTATTTATTTATTCATTAAAATATATTTCACATTAGTTGTATTAGATTTCATTAGATTGTGCTAATGTATTTTAATTGATTAGTGTTCCTGCATAAGCAACCTCAACGGCGGAGATTCTTATTAGCTGTAATTGTATGGCACCTTTCTTTTGTGGTCACATCGGGTGTGGGAAGATTTTTTTCTCCTTTATTGTTGTCAAAGAGAAAGAAAGAAAAACAAAGGGGAAAACGCTGTTTGGTGCAGATTTGGCCAGAAACGTGATCTTTGTCCATTTGATTGTGCTTGTCTGCTGCCGACGACTTCATCCGTTAACAAAATTTGACAGTGGGGGGAAGAATTTGACAAGCAAAGCTTTGCGCATGACCACGAGTCAATTTAACACTAAATTAGGCTAGCTGGGGTGGGAAATAAATCATTTACTCTCTCGTTTTCATTCATTGCATGACATTGGTGGGTGTGCACGAAAATGTTTGTTTTCAAAGTCAAAGCTCTGATGAAATGGAGAGGGGTGGGGGGGGGGGGTTACTCCCTGAAACATGCACAGTAGACTCATCTCCAATATTAAGCACAGTTGCACAAGCTTGCAAAATCTGTGATGAGCTCTATTTAAAAAAAACACGCTTTTACAAAGATAGTATGGATTCTTTTTTTTTTATACATTGGTCAATGTTTTTTTCTGATCAGGTTTTTAACAATTACATCATGTGTAAAATAGTAATGGGTGGGATTTTTTAAAGCTACATAGCTATAAATGATTTGACAGAAAATATTTTAACTATTTTGCACTATAACATTTGTACTACGCCAACTTTCAGAAGGGAAAACTTAAAGACAAATATATATATATATATATATATATAAAATATCCGACAATTGGATTTGAAAACTAATACTGCATTTGCATGTGTTTTACATTCCATTTTTGGACAACAAAAATGTATACGAATTTGTGCTGAGCAATTCTAGTGCTGCTCTTAAAAAGAGTTATACTGGAAAGGTTAACAAAAAAAGTTTACACATTTTTCCCCTTTCAGGCCAACGGCTCAAAAAAAAAAAAAAAAAGCCAGCGGTGACATCATCACTTGAAAAAAAGGTTTCACAAGTGGAGGCAGACCAGAGATTACTTCATCTGCGCGGGGCGGGCCAGCACCCAACTGACCTCAGGTCATACGCACGCTCGCGTGGTGAAACTGCAATGTGGAATTTAAAATAAAATGCATGCCATGCCACTCCCACCTGAACATTGCAGCAAGGGAGCAAGGTTGAAGATTCAACGTGGATGAATATGGTTGGGGCCTTTTGGCGCATCATCATTAAATGTATGCAAATGACTGAGGATTATTGGATCATAATTGCTTGTTGGTAACTCCGGTTTAGTTACACGACTTCAAACCACCACAAATGCATGATGGTTTTTTTTCTGCTCTAACTCATCAGTGAACTCAAAGAGGGAGCAGGAAGTGATCATTTCATTTCAAAATGTTTAACACTTGTATAAAGAAAAAAATCAGTCTGCAGTCTTAAAAACTGCTCATACTTAATGCAGATAAAATATGTTCCTCAATTAGACTGTAAAAAAAGTAGACGA